TTACTTCTATTGTATCTATATAACATGTTTATCCTTATACATTGTACAAACCAAATATGTGTCCTAAGACACAGTTTTCAATTCAATTATTGTATTTTTATTATTTTTTAAAATTGGTAAAAAAAAATAAATATTTCTTTTTTTACATTTTTTAAGTTTTTAAAGTTTTGACTTTTTTTAATATTCATTATTTATTCTAAATGTTTGTTTGGAAAAGTAAATTATCTTTTTTTAATTTTTTAAGTTTTCAAGCTTCGACATTTTAAAAAAATTTTTCTCTATTTATTCTAAATAATAAATAAATATTTATATTTAATAAATAGATAAATAATAAAGTTTTGACACTTTTTTTTCAACTATTTCTTTTAATCCATTTATTTTGTTATTCTATTTTTTTTTTAATTTTTTTATTTAGTTATATGTTTTGTAATTTATTTCTTTTATTTATTTTTTAATTTATTTAATTTTTATTTATTTAGCACCGAGGAGTTGCAATATCGAAACTCGCTGTTGCCACCGCACCTGAAAAGCGCATATGCTGCACAATACGACCACGGCTTAGCCGAAGATGAGTTGAAAGTAAGCACTAGCAGAACAAGCACGAAGCCGAAGGCGAGCCAAGACACAAAGCCCTCAGAGGGAGAAACAACAGTGATTACATCCAAAGCAGTATCGCATCCAACAATTTCCAGAATTTTTCACTGTCATAAAACCAAAAAGTTGAAATGAAAATTTCCACGTAGACGCTGCAAAACAACAAATTGCTAATAATTCAGCACAAGAAAGCCAGCAAACTAGAAAAAAAAATATGTACACAAAAGTGACAAAAATGCGCTTCTAACCATTTGCAAAACAAATAAATTTCAAAACGAAACAAAGAAGGCAAATTTATCCTTATCTAAAATTGACTGCGTCTTAAAAACTTTTTCATTTCACATACATGCATACAAATTGTAAGGATTTTCTTTCGAGTACATGTTTCACCTATGCTAAATTTCACTTATTGCCTCAATGTAAACAATTTCAAGCAATTAAATTAGTTTGTTCAAAAACTTTGTTGTCATTGTTAATGCATTTCGCACGTTTGTAATTGTGTTCTGTATATTTGAAGCATTGTCCTGTGTACGAAAAGTCGTTTGTTAATGTCCTTCAGTTGGTCACGTGTTGTTTAAATGTTTGTACTTGTCAGCGGTCTTCGTTGTATGCTGTCTGCATAGCATTCAATAATCGGAATATTGCATAAATCTTAAAAATAGAAACTTTATAGAAATATTTACTCTCTTCTTCACTCCCACTCTCTTAGGATGGCCCGAACAGCTTGGATGATAGCATGAGCGCTTTACTAAGTACAACGGGTGGTGGTGGTGCGCGCAAGAAACTCACCGGCATCACGAATTATAAGCGTCCTGGTCCGCCGACGCCGAGCAAACATGGCGGTCGGCTCTCGTTGGGCGGCAGCTCGGAGCCGCCACGCGAAATACTAAGAGAAGTGAATGATTATGGCAGCTCAGCAAAAACCCCGGTGCGTTTTGGCTTCTTCGCGTCGAAATTCAGCATGGGCAATAGCAATCCAAAGGACGAGGTGAGTTTTAATTGGCCACATTTAATGTTTATTGTTTTCTTTTCAATATTTGAGTTGAAATTTGAGTACCTTTAAGTGTTAAGTTTGTTCGGTTTAGTGTTTTGTTTCTAAACGTTGTTATATAAGTGTTAAGTTTCATTATAATAATCATAATTTTTTTGTTTTCACCAACTGACCTTTTGCACTCTACAAATAATTTTTTTAAGAAAATATTTTAATTTAAAATTTTTATTAAATAATTAAATTTTTTAATATTTTTATTTAATATTTTCATTTTTACGAAATATTAAATTTTAAATTTTTTAAACATTTTAATTTAAAATTTTTTGGATAATTTTTTGCTAAAATATATTCTAAATCAAAATAAATTATTTGTTTTATTTTAGCCTACAAATACAAAAAAATTTATAAATTTTCTTATATTATATACATATTTCGTATTATCGTACAACATAAATGCCATTCGTTCGCGTCTCATTCTTGATTTTTTAATCAAGATTATTTTTTTTATAAAATTACTATTAATCTGGACTAAGATTTAAGATGGATTCTTTTCAAACAAAATTAATTTTTTTTTAAATAGTTTTCGAATATCTAATGTATGAATATCGAAAATTTTTACATACGTTTTTGAGGTTGTGTTTTCGAAATACTATATTATTCAAGCTATCACAACAAAACCGTCAAATCTGAGTAAAGATATTATAAAAAAATCAGAATATTGATCCGAAGAGCATAAAAAATGTCATTATTTATAAAGTTTGAAAATTTTAATTTTTTTTTTCACTACACATACATATACTATAAAGTAAGAACAACGTAGAAATCTTCGTTAAAATTAGAAAATATATAATATGACAAGAAAAGTCAAAAATTAAAAAAAAAAAGATTTTAAAGTTATGTTTTCGGATTACTAAATATTCTTATGTAGATATCCCATATAAAGATAGTCAAATCTGATGAAGGATGATAGTATTAAAAAAGTCTGAATTTGTAATAAAATAGCCATTTTTGCCTTTGGAATGAATGCCATAAATTTTAAAAATTTTAAATTTTTTATTTTTACCGTTTTTTATTAAAAAAAAAAAAACTAGACATTTATCAAAGTCAAATATTTTAAAAAAATCTAAACACATTCCCGTATATTCCGATTTAATCTTTTAACGATCTTCGAAATATCGCATGCGCATTGCATAAGTCGCATGCGATATTTTTTTTATATGTATCCGTAATTCTTTCAAATTTCAAAAATTAAAAATTATCCGATTTTATGCTAATCGGCTTGTTCGGTAGTAGTGTCGTGTTCACCGCTGCTATTCCCTTTCTGTTGTTTGTGCTGTATTCGTAACAGTTTCGTTACCGTTATTGTTCTCGTAGTTGGTTGTTGCTGTTCCGTAAATGTTTCTTGAGCGTGTTACAAACTCTGCCGTTAACCAACTTTGATTCATTCTAATTGCTTTTGTTTTCTACTTCTACAAATGAAACACATACATTTCGAACAACAATTACAATAACAAAATAAAGGCTAAAAAATTGTCAGCTGATCTGCTTAAGGCTGTGCAAAGGAAAAACTTCGAAGCGATGTGCTTGAAGAGTCCCGACAACATTTGCACCTCAACGCCGCGCAAAAGCAAAACGCATTTCGATCGTCGTGGTCTATTCAAACAATTCATGGCGCTATCCGGTTCGTCGATGCTTTCGCTAACTGTTGAGAAGTGTCCGCCGACAACAACGCACACCGAAGAATTGAAAGCGGTGCCGGTGCCAACACTCTCTTTGGCTGATGTGTCGGCCATCAGTCATGTGGCTGCGTCGCAAACGCATTTGAAATTGCTGGAGCAACAACGTGTCGCACGTAAGCGACGTAGCTCACTGTTACGGCTACAAATCGGACGCAGGTTGAAAAATTTGCCAGCCAGCAGTCCGATTACAACGGATACACCATCCACCGGCACGCCACAAACACCGCGGAAAGTTGGAAAGAAACCGTTAAAGCCGCTAATGGAAGACTTCGAACGGCGTCGCGAAGACGTAATCACTCCCACCACCGGTACAACCACTTCGGCAACTACGGCAACGGCCACCACGACGACTGCCAGTTCAGGCGATGCGCTGAGACGTGGCAGCGGCTTTGGTGGTCGTCATCGTCGTCGTTCGAAGCGTGATCGTGGACCACGCTTGTCGTTGTACGCCAGTGGCGGCGGCCATCGCACACCGTGTCGCAACAAATTGCGCGAACAAATGCGCAAGAAGGCGCACAAACAGCGTCGTGACAATTTCAATCGTGCGCGTGCAATACCAACTGATCAACGCCTCCAGGGCGGCCAGCAGGATAATGAGAGTGTGCGCGAGAGTGAAGATAACAATAATAGTCACACGATACGACTGAATGCCACGATTGTGCTGTCGAAGAAATGCGAACACCCCGAAGAGTATGATATACCGGAGTATACCTCGAATTATTTCAGTGAAATTATATCCGGTTCGCAGGAAGTTATTGAAGAGATCAGCGCTGAACACAGAACAACAAACGCTTCGCTCAATCGTCATGAGACCCATATTTCACCGGATTATGCTTACGATATGAACCGGACGCAACTGGCGTTGGATAAGCAAACCAAAAGAAATCTCACTGGCGACGAAGATAGTTTAACAGAAACTTCGAACAACGGTGAAGAAAGTGAAACGAATGCTGATGATAGCGATTCGTCCAGCTTAAACACTTCACTGCCGGTGGAACGCAGTCTCAGAAACGAGCCAGCGGATGAACCATCAACGCTTGATGAAATCGAAATATACGATGCTCGCTCCCGGCATTTCGAACAACTTGCGTCGGAGACTTCATCGGCGGCACCGTTCGCTGTAACCGACTTTGAATTTCATGTTGTTGCCTCGCCGATAAGACGGCGCTCCGTCAAGCATAGACATTCCATTACATACACACTCGTGCCGAAGTGCGCCAAAGTGACGCTGCCGGCGAACCTAGAGCTCAATACACCGCAAGTGTTGTCCATGAAAGCGCTAGGCGAAAGTGAGCAAAACGATGGCGACAAAGTGGCGCAGATTACGCTTGCAGATGTGGTGCGTTTATGGTCAAGCATCTGGGTGCGTTTGGACCAGCAATTGCAGCTAACCGTCGCAATTGCGGTCTTTGCGCCGATAATCGCCTTGATCTATCTGATCTTATCGTTATATGTGTGAATATGTGGTCTTAATGTAAAACTTTCGTGGTATGCTTTCATTTCAGAAATGTCATATTTATGTCCACTTAATGTGATCCTGAATTGGATTCAAACTTCGAAACCCTTCAAAAAAATAAAATATTAATAAATTAAAAATTAGTTTTGTCTAAAATTATTGTTAAGATCAAACAATTGCTTATGTATTAAAAAAAACTATATTTTTTGTTCTAATTAGTTCGTTAATATCGTCTTGAAGCATTGATTTGCTCTGTCGAGAGCGAAACTTCATGCAAATCCGCCATTTTGTTGTTGATATCTGTTTGATTAATGTGCAAATTTAGAAATTTTCAATTTGCTTAAGGCAAAATCGCTATGTATTTCTAAACTGATGATATTGTTCAATAAAATTTTTGAAAACTGAACATTTTTGAAGTTGTTTTTGAAAATCAAAAGAAAAAAAAAATAGATTGGAGTAATGTGCATTTTGAGATGAAACAAAACCTTCTTGTAATTGAACTACACAGTCGGAACAATCTTTTCTGTCTGGTAGAATCTATATCACCGAAAGTGCTTCGGATTTATATTAACGTGAGGATGGTAATCCTCAAAATATCCAAAGGATTTAAAACTAGAGTTACCAACTCGTGCCCATATTTGGGCTGACTTTTTTTCTTTTATAGCAAAAATGCTTACACATTGATTTTGGTTAGCAACCATAGAGTCTAATGCACTTGTCCAATGGTCGCCTTACGAGTTTGTAACTTAGTAGGGTCGTCATAATTTTATTATACTTTGAACAGGAGGGCATATTAAGTGTGCTACGAAGTTATTAACACTAAGAAGGAAACATTGGTTACCCTATACAATAGGTGTATATATAAATGATAAATGTGACGAGCAGTGTCAGATTGGCTATGTCTGTTTATCTGCATGTACGCGTATTAGTTCTTCACTTTTTCATATATTTATTTAAAATGTTATACTTTTTTACCCAAGAAGCTTCTCATTTGTTTTCACCGTCGATAATCGACCACTTAGCTTTCTGGGTATAGTTGTCTTAGAAATTGAAAAATCAAAACCAATTCCTTGTAGGCCTTCGGAGCGTACGCACTTATAAAACACTGGAGATGTGTCTTTCGTCTATCACAACATGATCAATCTGGTTGTTGGCTTTTCGATCCGCAGACAGCCAGGTAGCTTGATAAATTTGTCTTTGCTGGTATCTAGTACTACATATAACTATATTTCGGACCCCGACGAAGTCGATCAGCCATAACCCATTTAGAGACGTTTCATCATGGAGGCTGAATTTACGAACCGTTGTGCCAAAGATACCTTTTTTTGGCCACCCTGGCGTTAAAGTCGCCAAGCACCATTTTGACGTCTCTCATAAGTACGCTCCAACCGCTCCTAGAAATCATCTTTGGTACCATCGTCCTTCTCTTTCGTCGGGGTAAATGAAAGATATGTCGAAGAACTTCGCTTTGACTCGGACTCTGCCATGTAGGCTCTCTCCCACCACGAATCCCACACCATATATATATATATGTATATATATATTGCTTGTCAAAAAAGTCTTGCTGTATTTTCGCTAGTTGGCGCTGAGAGCGCGTAGTTCTAGTTTTATCCGTCGCATGTCATGCTATACGTTTTTACAAAGCTCATTTCACGCACTAACACGTGTTTGATTGATTGTCGTTTCTTTAAGTCGTTCGTGAATTATAGCGTCGCAAACATGGAGCAAAATAAAGAGAAAATACGGCATATTTTACAGTACTACTACGATAAAGGCAAAAATGCATCTCAAGCCGCTAATAAAATTTGTGCAGCTTATGGACCCGATACAGTTTCCATTTCCACCGCACAACGATGGCATGAGTCATCAAAAAAAATTTTATGAACAATCGAAAATTCAATAAAAAAATACCGCAAGACTTTTTTGACAACCTATTATATGTAAGGACTTTCTTGTACGGCAGTGAAGTCAGCCTTTACTCTTACGAGGACATCAATTAGCTGGGAAATTAAGGGATCCGATATTCCAGGTGCATGCCTCTAATCTTTAATACCTGCGCTGTGGTCATCATCAAAAGGGGGTCTCTGATTGGAGTTTTCTTTTGTTCTTTTCATTGGGGGTATTTTGTTTTTTTTACGTGGACGGTCCCAAACCAACCACATAGCCATGGCGAAGAATGTTTCGCCTTCTCATTTTAGCTCGTATTCAAACGGATGTTCCTTGGCTACACAGAGAATATTTGGTCTAAGATCGGAAGTCGTGAACTGTTTGAGTCATATGTAAAACAAGTCTCTGGTCGCAGATATTTTTCTTCACTTGCGTGAAATTCCACACATTGCTCCACCTTCATTTCCTTATTATGCACCCTTAATTCGTCTATACTCTTGTTTATATCGAACAATGTGGTTATAAAAGTAGCAACATGCTTTTTTTCCCATACTTGTATTATTCGAAACATATATTTTCAGATTTTCTTAGTAAAGCTTTTTACAATTGGTATATATCTTCCCCTTGCTTCTACATACCGAATACAAGAATATTCATCTCTTGAGTTGACTCATTACCATTATTTTGCTTAATCTTATAAATTTCTTCTTCCCACAACAAAAAGTCTAACGGTCTGAAGTGTTCTGTCATCCATTTATAGATGCGTTGTCTGGGAAGTGTCATTGTCTTGTTGAAAACAAATGTCGCCGCGATCACGACCTTCAATTTCAAGTATCAAATAGTCGGTTATCATAGCACGATAATATTCGCCATTGACGGTTACATTCTCAACGGCATCATTTTGGAAGAAATGTAAACAGATGATTCGACCGACCCTCAAACCATACTAAATATTTTTTTCTGTATAAAATGGTAGCTCCTGAATCCCTTCAGAGTGTTCTTCCTTACAAATGCGGCAATTTTGCTCGTTTACAAACCTATTGAGTCAGCATCGCTGAACAAAATTTGGCTCGAAAACGTCGGGAATCGATGTCGCTGGGAAGGTCGAGCGGCTTTAGTTCTTGCACAAGCTGTGCTTTGTACGCTTTCAATTTAAGAATTCGACATAAAATGCGCCAAGTCGTTTCATACATCGTTCCGAGTTGCTATGGACAGCACCGAATCGACCGCAGTCTTCGTGTACACTCTCAGTTACGGCTGCTATACTTTCTTCACTGCGAATACGTGGTCTATTCCGTCGATTATTATACAATACAATAATGTATGCTGGCTGGGGCTCAAGATAGGTGATGGTGTTGCGAACAGTACGCTCAGTAGGCCGATTATGTTGACTAGGTTTAGCGAATTTGCGCGAAACACATTCTTTACAAAACCTGTATTTTTCGTAATAAAGTTGAACGATTTGTTAACGTTAAGAGCATTGAAATTAGCGATGCTCGCATTGATAACTTACTTTTTCTACCTTCTGTAAATTCATTTAATAAATTAATAAGAAATGATAAAAGTGATAAAACTATAAAATTAAATGTAATAACTTAAACAATCAGTTTTGTAATGGTGAAATTAATATTTGAATTCATTAATATAATATATTATTAATTTATTTAATTATTTACTTTATCCTTTTCAGAACTCCCCACCAAAGCGGCGCCTCAGCAACATATTTAAACGGAAATAGAACTGTACGCATTTGAAACCATAATTGAAAAACGAACAATTTCCATTTTATTGTTTTAAATATTTGGATATTTGCGCTATATGCTAACTTAAATTACTTTAATATTTATTCTTACTTAAATCTATAATGTATAATGCTTACATTTTTAATATTTATGCTCACCTGTGTGTGACCATGTGTGTGTACAACAACAAAGTAAAGCGCAATTTGCTGCTACGATTTGAGCACAACTTTTAAGTTATGTGTGTGTAGTGGTACAAAGAGTGAGAGAGAGAGTGTGGCACAGACAATAATATCTGTATGTAAATTATTTGTGAAATTGCATTTATTAAAATGAAGAGGTAAATAAGTTTTAGCACAAATAAAAACACAAAATATTTGCATTTAGATTGGCAATAAATTTTTCCCTCCACCCCTATCACATACATAACTACAATTACAAATACACACAGGAAGCACTAATAGATATTTAATTGTATTATTACAAATTAATTGTTAATAATTTGTAATAATCATTTCAACGATTTATTACTTTAATTACAAAAAAAAATCAAGAAAAC